CTTCGACATGTATCGCCGCTGTAACGTTCGATTACTCGGCGAGCCCGGGCTCGATCGCCACGAAGTTCCGGGCACCGGCCACGAAACTGTGAGAACTAAAACCTGTTCGGCCGATCGCGCAGCGCAACCTCCGATTCTAAGCGCTTGTCTTTGTTCCTCGTCGCATTGTCCCCGGCTGATTCAATTTTTCTTGGGTCTAATCCATTTGTTCATTAATTCTAAATCTAAACTGTTCATTAACGCGAATGCCGCACGATATCATCTAGCTGAATGTCACATTAGTTAGCATTATTTAGAATAAATAAATGTTTTCAAATAATCATGGTTTAACTGAGTGATCTATAGTAATTCGATTTGGTTGGTCATCGGTAAACTAAACTAAATCATTTGTTCGGGTATTCCAAAAATGTCAGTTTCATCTCAGCAAATATCCTCGAAAGCTCGACCATCAACCAACCTCGAATCCGACATCAGATCAGCAACAATATCCACTAAATTTTTCAAATAAAAAATGCAGCGCAGAATACTCCAAACAGCTCGACACCGCATAAGTTACGCGCGCTATCTCGAAACCAGCTCGCAAATCTGCGGGAGCATTAATTTCTGTGCGAGCCTGTACATCAGGGATCCCGGGGAACCCGCAAACCGGAATCCGCGCGAACCCGTGTGCGAGAAAGCAAAGCGCAGCTCCGGAAGACGAGCGGAACCGAGCCTCGCCGGGACGTGTGCACGTCGCCGACGGAATTGCGCACTTTTGCGCGCGTGGGCGGCGGGATTCGAGGGGGACAGAGACGCGGAACACAATATTGCGGATCAATAAACCTCAATAAAGTCAATTTCTGTCGCAAAAGCATCTGAATACGGGAATTTTGTATTCCGCCGGCTAGGCGGCGGCAGCCGGCCGGGCAGGGATCGTGTCCCGAATACAGATTAAGTATATTTTATACCGTATCTCGGCGAACTCGCGCGCACACGCTTCTCCCGCCGCTTCCTTCTCGAGGGAAGAAAGTAACGCGGACAGAAGTATTCGCCTGCGACACACGGCTCCTCGCACGTGCAGCGCGCGCGCTTGTCCTGGCGGCTTCAACTTCTCGCGTAATTTGTTTCGAGCGACTTCGCGACTTTAAAGGCTCTCCCAACTTCGTTGCCACGGTGTATTTTCGACGGAATACCAATATCCACCCTCGAACGCTAAGGAGGAGATGGATTGGGACGAACCGGCGTAATGAGCTTGACGTCGCGGAGTTTGCTCGTTTATTTGTCGCGATGACGGTTTGTGCGATGGAGTGTTGTGGGATGTTGGATGTTTTTGGATTAATGTTGGATGTTTTTGGATTAATGTTGGATATTTTTGGATTAGTGTTAGATGTTTTTAGATTGTTAGATATGTTAGATGTTTTTAGATTGTTACATATGTTAGATGTTTTTAGATTAATGTTAGATATCTTTGGAATCGAGGATTGAGGTATTGATTCGCTTCCCGGAAGATGCTTTGAAATGTACGAAGTCTTCGACGAATGAAGTTAAATTAAATATCAATTACTTGATTGATAGGTAAAAGGGGAACTACGAGATGATCTCTTGCTGTTAGAGTAATTGAATCATTTCTCTGCGACTTAGTTTTCCAAATATAAAGACTTCATCTCTCAGAAGTGCCGAAGTTCATCGATGATACTATAGTAATAATAAATGAATGAGTAATCTGAACTACTTATGTTCAATATTTCTATTCATCAATCTTTTCAATTGTTCTCGAGCAATTTGGAAGCTCCTGTCATCGACCAACTATGTATCAAGCGTTGATTTTTCTACGACTGCAATAAAGATGAAGGACTAGCCTTGACACATTGTTAACCCTAATTTGACCACGATGTGACTTTGAGTGACATTTGAATTGTTCACCCAAATCTTTCGATTCTTTAACCCTTTGCGAACGAATGTCGACATTTCGATCAGATGAAATGTTTATATTTGGAATACTAAGTTGCAAACGAATGATTTAATTACTTGAATAGCAAGTGATCAGTGTATAGTTCCCTGTTTTACTACTGTTTAAGCATTCTGTGTACTTTAAAAAGTTTTCGTCCGCAAAAGGTTAATATTGCATCTCCAAAAAATCCTTTGGCCTCTTAAAATTCGTCCCATAAAAAAACAATAACATTAATCATTTTCATTCTCACCACCGACCGAGAATCACACTTGAACTTTCCCCAAATCTTTCAATTCTCCAATACAGCATTGCCAAAAATTCTGTCAGCCTCATAAAATTCCCATAAAAAACAATAACACTAATCACTTTACTCTCCCAAGCGACGAAGAGTCGCATCCTAAAACCACGTGGCGCGATTGGGGTTAATCATCTCGCTGCAGCGTTAAACGAACACGCAGCTCGAGGGGAGCTCGAAAAACACGAGCGAGAGGCGGGTAAAAAGCAGCAGAAGCACTTCCGACGCATCAGCTGCGGCTGATTCGCGCGAAATTCGCCGGTGAAGGCGGCCGCGCGATCAAATATTGACGCGCCGGCCATAAATATGATTTTCGGTGGCCGTTATAAACGTCGAATTATCGGCCGCGGGAGGACGCGGCAATAATATCGAATAAAATCGGTGCCAGTACGCGAGCATTTTCATTAATACGATTATCGAGCGGGCTCGAGGTCGCGGAGGCGGCGACGAGCCGGCGACGGCGGCCGCGCGCGCGGCATAATTCATTTCCCTGGCATAACGGGGGAGCCCCGGGTTGTTGGCGCGACCGGCGAACCGCCGGGACACCAACTTCCTCCGGTCCCGATAATAAGAAGAAAGTCGAGCTCGCTGGAACGAAACCAAGTGGCACGTTCTCGGGGAGCAGCCACACCACGTAATTATCTACTTCGAAAACTCGACGAAACCGGGGGAGAGCTGGAGCTTCCGAATGACAAAACGCGGATGGCTGATGCGGGAAATCGGAATCTTGAGTTTCGATGTCACGGAATCTGGGAAATACAGTGTTGAAACGGTTTTTTAATGCTAAAACTGGTGAATGACGAAACAAGGGATGACCGATGCCGAGGAAATTACAATTTTGAGTTAGAATGTCGCGGAATTTGGGAAATACAGCGTTGGAATGATTCTTTAACGATGAAATTGACGAATGAGTGATTCTAAAAACGTGGCTTGACAATTGTTGTACTAATCATTGTATGAAACAAGTTTGGAATCTGGAAAATACAGCGTTGAAACGATTTTTTAATGATGAAACTGGCGAATGACAAAACAGGAGATAGCTGACGCTGAGGAAATTGGAATTTTAAATTAGAATGTCGCGGAATTTGGGAAATACAGCGCTGGAATGATTCTTTAATGTTAATTATACTTTAAAGATTCTTCGTCCGAAAATTAACATCATATTTTTTCCTGTGTATTTTCCTCTACAAAACCGTGCAACGTTCAACGTTAACCAGCGTGCTGCGCGAAGCGCGTAGGCCAGAACAAGGTACGAGCGAGTTCCTGCGGCTTTTACGAGCATTGCGTCGTGAGTCGTACGCGGGGAGACGCTTCAGTTCTGGTTCGTACGAAGGGGATCGAAGGGGCCACGGGTAATTCCACGGAGGCGCGAGGAAATGGAACACGCCTGAAAAAAGGGAGGTTACACCATTTCCATGGTCCCCTCCTAGTCACGTTCACGGCTCCGGGCATTCGCACTAAAATTTGCACCCTCTTGGCTCCGGCAGCCGATCAGATATGTGGCTCCACATTACAGCGAGCTATTTGCGTGGATAATTCAATCGTGCATGGCCGAAATTGCAGTCGCTCGGACGCTGCGTGTCGCTTAACAAAGTGGAACGGAATTTTCGCTGGATTCTTTAACCGTATGCACTCGGAAGCTTCAGATTCGACACTTTCCTAAGAGACTGAGAACTAATTAGGAAACGTGAATTAAGGAACAATGCTGTTTTATAGAAATTCACATATTGAGTCGCCAATTCATTTGACACAGCAAAATTATAGAGTTTATTTAATATTAAACTTTGAACAACGCATCATATGAAGTATTAAAATAAAACAGCCTTCCTTTAATTTATGTACGATTCCTCGTTAAGTCAGTCTGAAAGTCGTTGGTATTTCATTAAAAAATCTTGAGTATTTCTAATGAGAAACTTCTGGAGTAGGGTTAATATTCTGTATAATAGTTTGTAATTTTTATGTCGAATCAAGTGACTGAGAGTCACAGGCTTAATAATGGATTATAATTATTAATGATTATAAATAAAGATTTACGAGTACAAAGGGTTAATAATGGAACTATTCTTAGTGTCTTTTTGCAATTGTTAGAATATAATAACAATGATTATAACAGTTAAGCTTCGAATTTAGAAGTTTCAATCACAGATTCGACTGTAAGGGTTAATTTTACCTCACGCAGGTCAAAAGTCAATTCGAATAACGCTCGAACGCTATCTTTGATGCCTTTTTGCAATTATTATAATATAATGACAATGATTATAACAGTCAAGCTTCGAATTTAGTCGAAATTTCAAGGGCAAATCTCACGCAGGTCAGAAGTCAGAGTTCGAATAACGCTCGAAAGCTACCCTTGGTGCCATTTTGAAATTATTATAATATGACAATGATTATAACAGTCAAGCTTCGAATTTAGTCTCAACAAGGGTAAATCTTACCTCAGGTCAGAAGTAGTTCGAACAACGCTTACCTGAAACAGAGAAGAAACAGCAATAAGTAATCTGGAATAACGATCGATTAGAGTGTTTCTTATAAAACAAGAGAAGACAGCGTAAAATAAATCCGAAACTCGGGGGAAATTCGGTTGATCCGTCAGCGAATTTCCCATTCTAAAGAGAGAGCGCCGGGAGGAAAGTAAGCGGCGCGAAATATCTTTTCGTCGTCGGCCGCTCCCTTAATTCCCAATATTTTTTCGAGACACACCCTTCAGCCGGGGCTCAACTTGTTGCGCTTTACGAGCACGTCACCGCCCGCTGAAATTCCTATTTGTTCCGGCAGACGTGAAGAATACCCGGGAACGAGGCTGGCGAGGCACGAGGAAATAAGAAAGGCAGAAGAAAGGGAGGAGATAGGGAGGAGAAAGAGGTCGAAAGGCTGAGGGACGGACCGACTGAAAGAGGAATAACACAGAAAATACATTTGTACGTCTGTGTGTTGGATAGTTAATGACGAAATGATTAACCACTTGAATTTTCAGAAAAATCACTCATTCAGAATCACTTTTCCCGAAAGAAAACAAAAACATTCCGAACGCATCGTCCCGAACACTTGACACGTGGACTGCTATGAGAATTTCTAATTTTGAATAGCAATACTTATTCTTTAATGACAACGGCTAATGATATTGAAGATATTGTGATCTAGCTACTTATGTTACTAAATATTTTTATTTAAAACCAAGTGTTTCATTGTAATTGTTCTTTAGTAATCTGGAAGTTCCGGTCATCAGTGGCGCGCCTTTCAGTCATTTGATTTGATCCAAGAAGATGATAGAATTTAAAATTCAATATTAATTGTTATATAGTATATCAACGCGTGGGAGATCGAAATAAAATAGTCCTGTCACTTAATTTATGTTAGTTGTCAAAAATATCATCGACGTTTCATCGGAAAATAATGAATATTTGCTGAGAAAAATGATGCTTGATGCTTGTCTCACTCGCACATTTTCTAGAACATCCTTTCATTACCATGCATCAGCTTCACGTATATTTGGAATATTCTAGATTCATAAAAAACAAGCATTATTAACATAAACATCAATACAGAGAAAACCAATTCAGTCTAAAACACTCCAATGCTTCGAACATTCATTCAAAACGCGCTCATAGTCGCATTCATCTATTCCACACATTCATCACTCAGCAATACATCTATTCTCACACTCAAACACACCCATTCCCACAATATAGTTGTACATGCAAAATAAAAGACAGAAAAATGAACGGTTTCACAGGCCTATCTCCATGGGACAGACGCTCGATTCGAAATCGAGTCTCAAGGACAGATCAAGTGGCACTGCAAGAGAAATAATAAGGGCGGAGCCAGGGAAAAGGCTATCAGAAAAAGCAGCGAGAGGGTGCGAACGGCCAGGAACAGGGGATTCGAGTAATGCCGGCGAGGAGAGAAAAGCAGGAGAGCCGGCGCGCGAGCTGCAAGAAACAAATTGCAGCGAATGGGAGCAAGGGCGGCGAACGGTAGGGACGTTTAATGACAGAAAATTGCAAGTAATGGCGGATAACGCGCCCTATTTAACACCTCCGCCTCATCTTATCCTATCACACGAAATAACCTCTGCATCCCCGTTAAAATTTTCTTATCGCCGGGGCGAACGTGCCGCCAGCCGCCTGCCTTACGTGTATTACACGTCGAGACTCGGCGCTCGCTATCTTCCGCCTGCTCGTCCGACCGAATTATTACGCTTCCGGAACATCGTTTCGGCGCACTTCGGAATAACGTTTGTCCCTCAGGCGGTCGACGGATTTTTCTGTTCGGCTCTAAGAGATGGAGATGTGTCGTTTGGTCAGTGTAGCTTGGAATGATTCTTTGTATAAACATGGTAGATAGTGACAAGTTTGATTGGAAAGATTAGTGATCTCTGCGAGATGTCCAAGTATCATTTGGTCGCTGTACTTTGAACGAAGTTTCTATTGTTTGTACAAATATGGTAGCGAGTGACAAGTTTGATGAACAAACGATAGTATCGTTGTTGAATTCTCTTCATTTCGCGGTTATTAGAAAGATTACGGATGATTCTATAAATATTTTTGGACTTCGTGATCAAAGTAACTTATCTTCATTTTACAAAAATTAGGGAAATCAGGGTACGAGGTTCTATTTTCGGGGGGATGATTAAAAATAAAGTCAGTATCCGGTTACGCGTCGATTCTGCGCGCGCCGAAGGGCCGGGTGAATCAGAATCCCGCGGCTCTTTTACGAGGTATCCGGCGAGAATCGTTGCGAAAGGCTGAAATCGCATTAAACGACCGACGTAACGAAGGTGAATGCAAACTCGGCACGAAAGGAGCTCGGACGAAACGCGCGAAGCGAAAGGGAGCCGGAGCCGGGAAGAAAAAGGGGCCGAAAGATAAAAGAGGGGGG